CACGCCAACTCGTCAGGCTAATGGAAATGGCGAGCATAACAAAACCTGCGCCTCAGTATGTAATAATAATAATAATAATAATAATAATGCCTACCCCTTTTCAGAAAACTGTGGATATTTGATACCCCTTTCCAAACAGTAAGCATTAATGGTTAACAGCGAATCAGAGGATCCGTTTCAGGTTTATTCATTCCGGGAAATGGGGGTGGGGTGGTCAGCTATTTTTATTTACCTAGATAGACTTTTACGATCGAAATGAAGTTACAGAAAGAAAAAAATCAGCTTCATTCTCCTGATTGTTTGATCACTCAAGCTCTAAAGACAGTCTTTGGAAAATATGGACCCCCTTACAGACGGAAATAATGAAAAAAGGATACCCCTTTTCAGACAGACAGGGTAAAATAACATACCTCTTTTCAGATAGAAGTGGTGAATTTGGGCCCCCTTTTGGCGGCACAGATACATATAGCACTTCAATGTGATTCATGGTCGATTCATATCTATGTATTCAAAATTATTATTGAATCAATTTAAATGATGAAAGTATATTTTGTTGTGTTATCATAATCACATCTTGTTACAACAAATCAAACTGTAAAACATGCTATTTTAGCTGGTTAACTGTTATCAAAACAGCATAATTTGACCAGAAATTATCAACATTTTAAAAATCACTACACTACTTGGTCTCAATAATGAAGAGATAATATTATCTCTGAGTTCTTGGGAACACTCAAGAATAATATTATCTTCTTTGTTCTTGGGACAACTCAAGTATACTCTTACTCTCTGTGTTCTTCAGACCACTCAGGGATAATATTTATCTCTTAAAAGGGGACGTGGCTGTCATCACACACTTAAAATGTATTCTAAACCTGATTTAAAATCCACCAGAACTTTTTAGTATACGAGATAGATGCATGTTTTTCTCACTGTGATATGGAAAATAATAAAACATAAATAAGAATGAATGAATGAGTAGAAATGGGATATACTTACCTATCTCCACGGTTCCTACAGTTAGACAGCTAGCAGCCAAAAACAGTAAAAATAAAAACAATCTTCCGAGTAAAATTAATGGAAAATCCAACAATATAACCATTAATTTAAAAAAAAAACCTACGCGTTGCTTGAAAACAGAAGAGGTAAAAATATGAATGGAAAAAAATGGAAAAGATGCGAGTTCCTCCCCAAACGCCCTCTACAGTTCAATTGTTCAACAGTTCTATGCCACAATTCTTTGCAAAATCCAATATATCATTGATTTTCTCACAATCCAATGCACTCTTCTAATGAAAATCACAAATATGAGGTTTGATCTGGGCGAGATTTGCAATAATTACCACCCGTGACTCCTTCGATACCTTCTAATCACCTAAAAAATACCTATTTAAAATTTGGTAACCTCTCAGTTTGTACTCGTTCATCTGTGCAACAGTCAAAGTTGCCATCTTTGTTTATATAAGACCATATATCTCGCGCATGCGTAGCGCGACGATCACCGCCCTTTAAATTCTCGTAGCACTTTCTCTGAAAGGTTGAAATAACGCATTTAACATGCGCCCTCTAGAGACATTTCCCCATACTTTATGAGAAAATAAACACCGAGTTAGGGAGTACGAAATCTCCAAGTCGCGAGTTACTGCTTGGCATAAAAATGGCGATTTCATGGAGTTGTGATGATGACTTCTCCACTTCCTCATCTTCGTGACGTAAATTTCGGAAATGTAACGCCTGTTTGATTTGACGGCACAGGTATAGTTCACTAATTTAATTCATGCGGTGTTTCATTATTCCTTAAATCTGTATGTGACTCTCGCGACTTGTCGGGTGAGCAGAGCACTTACGTCCCTCGCTTGACCCGTGACGAGCTCGCTGGAATATAAAGCGGAAGTACCATGGGACTGCTTGGCGAGACTGTGGCATGACTATGGCATGATAATGTACAGTTATTCACGATGCATATGACGATACTATGATAATTATTAAGAATATTTATTTTAAATGAGCTCTTTGGAAAATAGATATAAAAGTTAAAACATTGTTTGTATGTATGATAGAAATTGCGATTCTTGGCGGTTGTAGTTGCAATGTTTCGATTCATACTTATGTATAATATATACGCAGTAGGTACATGACATGTTGCTACAGCGAGGTACACCACCACTTCTTAGACAATTTTTAGAAAGCATAATTTCGCAAAATTTTTTGTGATTCTTTCACTTTTTGACTTGTGTTGAAATTAGTTTTAAAAAAAAGGCATTGGTTATATTTTCAGTCCCTCTATCCCTGGTTTGGAAACAAAATGTAATCTATTGTACCAATGCTCAGAATGGGTTAATAGACATGCATGTAATTCACATAATTTTAGTATCGGTGTGCATGCGTATATTCAAATAAAAAAAAAAAACATTATTATTATTATTTAGTAATCTATTTAATATTAAAACCATACCAATTTCGAAACAGGTTATTCTAACCACCAAAGACATTTTGCATGACCAAGTTATGAAATTCAGTTGTAATTGGGGCAGAAACTTGTGCTACACTTGTGTGTTCGTTGTGGAAACTGTAATACAAAATGAAAAGCACAACACTTTATTCTATGGAAACTTGATTTTTGGAACAAGCCATCAAAATTATAAATTCAACCAGTCGACCAGTTTTAAAACACTTTGCACTTTCCAAAATGAAACATTTGCAGTTGTTTTAATAGTTATAACATAACAGGGACATAAACATTGAGTACATTCACATGACGGCGACTCAAATGTCACAACGCATTGAAAAAAAATAGCTCATAGTTTCACAGGGAGAAACAACTTTGAGAATAATGATACACTCAAGAAATAAGCATTTACGGACTGGAGATAGAGGGACTGATGTGGCAAAACTGTTATAAGGGAAACCCTAAAATATTTTGATGAGGAATGAAAACCCAGAAATTTATAATAGAACTTTTGGTTTTGAAGCATTCCACCTCCGCCATGGATTGATGTGTAGAAATATTATTTACAACAAAAAAATATTTCAGAAGAACGTAACACACTTCAACTTTGGTCACTGTGTCTTGATCTAGACAATAAAATTTACGTACATGTGCTGATTTTATTGAAACATGTGTGAACTCAAGTATTGCAAAATTTCCAAAAATAGGATTTTTCTTTTCTTTGATGAGCAGAAATACTGCTCAC